GGGACATCCGAGTGAGCAGCGATGTTATTAGGAAACCGGTGCTAGGTAAGAATGGTAGATCAATAGACGAAGTACTAGTGAAACTTCATCCGGTTGAGGTGGTTGGGAAATGTGTTGCGTATGCCTAACCACCGACTGCCTCGACAAGCTTTGTTTTGTAGTGTAGGAATAGGTTGGAAGAAAGTTAGGGGCGGCCAAATCAAAACATGGCAGACATCCATGAAGTCATTGACAAGTGGACTGAGTCATGTCGGTAATTGTCGACTACCTGGTTGTGGTCCGCAAGATGATAATAATCGATGGTTAGATACCTTGAATGACATGGCTCAAAACCGTTTGCAATAGCGCCGGTGCATTTATTCCTTGTGTTCTCTTAAATCCTAATCTTCTGGATTCTTCAACCCCTCTAGTTTTGATTCTCTAAACTTTTCTCACTGAATCATACTTCATGAATAATATCTTCTAATCCTAACCTCTCTGATTATTTCTAATACCTTCACTACCTTTTCTACTATTGGATTTGAAATGACGATTATACCTCTGTGCTAATGTGGTATGGCAACATGAACTGATGTACTTATGTTACGAAGTTCTACGTTGTATCTGTCTGTCTAAGATTTGTTAAGTGACCGATTAACTATTACAAGTCAATGCTCAATATAACCATACTGCCATGGATTATGTAGTTGGGTCGATTCTTGAGGGGTCGCAACGTCAAAAGATATTTTTCCTTGTGCTTAAAGTTTTGTGAAGAAATAGAGAAAATTAGATGATTCTAATTACGAAAAGGATAAAGTTGAGTAGCAGTTACATTCAAATCATGAATCAATCTATATTAGATTACCATTAGAAACCGAGAAGTGCTGAATGGCCATTTCGTAACAGTGTAGAACTCATTTGGCCAGACACTGTCAGTAACAACTTACTGTGGGAAAGAGAATAAATCAGATTACAGTGGAGGAGGAAATCAGGAAGAAGCGGTGGAAGTGAATAGGACACACACTACGAAAAGCACCGAACTGCGTCACAAGACAAGCCGTCACATGGAACTCTCAAGGTCAAAGGAAAAGAAGAAGGCCAAAGAACACATTACGCCGAGAAATAGAGAAAGATATGAGAGGAATGAACAAAATTTGGACAGAATTGGAAAGGGAAGCTCAGTACAGAATTGGCTGGAGAAAACTGATCGGCGGCCTATGCTCCATTGTGGGTAATAGGCTAAAGTAAGTAAGTAAGTAAGTGGAACTCATCAGCACTGCTCATCCACAACCGTTGCACGCGGGAATCTAACGCAGGACCTTCGCTTATCTTCTAGACCAGTGCACTGTCATCCGATGGTGTTAGAGTATGAACGTAAAAATCATATTAATGTTGGGAGAAGCAGTTCAGTTAGATGAATTACAAGTATAAAAAAAGCTTTTGGTTAAAGAAGTTCCCCTTACTTACTTGAAGAAAGTAAAAGAAAGTTACAGTTTGATTATCTGGCTTCTATTTTGAGCCATTTGTGTGAATGTGTCTCAAACCCTTGTATTACTCTGTCCTTAGGATCCTAACAAGAGAGTCTTGAAGGCACGAAAAAAGTCAGTCTTGTACAACTTTCTTTCGTACTAGGGCAGTATGTCATACGCTAATCACTTCTCTGCCTTTTCAAACCACTCCTAGCGTAGGCAAATAATGCATGATGTGGAATCCGTAGTGTTTGTTCAAGTCATTGCAGTCGATGTTTCAAGATGGTGACACTGATTGAATTATCGTAACACTCAATTAGCCAGACCTCTTCATTACTGACATAGTATTTTCACTGAATGTTAATATTTCTTTAGAGACATTGATGAATTGAACACAGAGTATCACTTAACATTCCCAACTCGGTGAGACCAAGGTTCGCAAGTATAGATCAAAACTGCTCTCATTGACACGTTGTAGATCAGACGTTTTACACTCAAACTAGCACAATCCATTGTGGTTTTCAGTATACTGAAATCGATCTCATCACTTACACCCCCGACGACATTTACTCACCTACCCAGATAAATGAACTTTCTGACCACATCTATCTACTCACTGACATTATTGAGTACAGGTTTAGGGCCTTGCCAGTCTTGTAAAAGTACTTTGCATTTAGAATATCCATATCACATGATCTAACTACAAACACCTTTTCCTAACCGATAAATTGCGGATCACTTAGACAATGTCATCCGCATACTCAAGGTCGAATGATAGAAAAAGGATTGTATTTTCAATCAGTGTAATAACAGCTTACTTTAATAATTCCAAAGTATATAAAAATTGTGTAATCTTTAATAACATTAGTGTAAAATAGTACAAATCTACTCCATATATATTGATTAACATTTCTTACTGTTTCAATTAAATCATACATGTGTATGTGTGAATTTGGTCATGGGTTTTAGTCATAAGGGTTAGTTAGATATTAGCTAGAGAACATTTGTGGGACACTTATGGATCTCAGTGTAATTAAATTTATTCTAACAGGAAATGATTACCAATTATATGCTGACGAATGTATTGAGTTTTAATTTACGGGTTTACTGTATAGTATCTTGCTCTGTCCTACTTTATGGCTGCAAAACATGGTCAATCAGAGTAGAGGATATTCTTAGGTTACTGGTTTTCGATCATAGGTGTCTCCGAAGCATTGCTCGTTTATCTTGCTACTATTGAGTAAGCAATGCTGTTTTTAGGAAACGAGTACTAGGTAAAGATTGTAGGTCGATAGATGAAGTAGTGAAACTTGATCAGTTGAGGTATGTTGGACATGTGTTAGGAATGTTCAACTACCGACTGTCTCGACGAGCTATGTTTTATGGTGTAGGAGTAGGTTGGAAGAAAGCCAACGGCGGTCAAACCAAAAGATGGAAGAAATTCATCAAGTCACTGACAACAGGATTCAGTTATGTTTTTAGGTGTCGACTACCTGGTTGGTGTCCGTTAGACGAATGTAGCCGATGGTTGGAAACCCTGAATGACATGGCTGAAAGCCGCTTGCAAAGGCTTAGGTGCATTTATTCTTTGTGTTCTCTCAAATTCTAACCTTCTGAATTCCACATCACCTTTATCTTTCTGTTTTTAAGTTTATTTCACTAGATCCTACTCCTTCAATAGCGTCTTCAAACCCTTATCTCGCCGATTACTATTAATACTTTTACTACTATGGGATTTGAGTTGACAATTGCATCTCTGTGCTAATATGTTATGGAAACTTAAACAGATGTATATACGTACGAAGTTCTACCTAGTAACTTATTGACTGAATAACCAGAAAAAATAATATTGATCGTCAAGTTAAGAGTTTGAAATCCACCGTTTTCAATTTTGGTGATGTTTAATGAGACTAGCAGATCTAATTGGTGGCTATCTATGGAATACAGAACTCACATTTCGTTCTATATTTAAGACTCATCAGTTGAATGTATCTATACATCCATGAGTCGATGTTCACTCCAGGACTCGAACCCATTGTGTCATTTGCTTCAAAACGCTATCGCATTATAAACTGAGCGATTGAGTTCCCGCAGTCACTCACTTTATAGCTAATAAATCATTTATTCGTCCACAGTTGAGTTGTAAACATAAACCTTACTGTAGCCTACTTGGACTTCGGTCATAGGCGTATCCGAAGCATTGCTCGTGTATCCTGGGACGACCGAGCAAGCAGTGCTACCGGTGGGAAACGAGTTCTAGGTAAGGATGAAAATCAATAGATGAAGCATTGAAACTTCATCAGTTGAGGTGGTTGGGACATGTGTTACGTATTTTGAGATGGTGAAGATTTGTAGCTCAGGTGGATGATTGTGGTGGTGGTGTTTGGTTCTCTGAGCTGGATGCGTTTTGGTTGTGGAGCTTTCATTGTTCTTCTGAACAACATCATCAGCACAAACTTCAGATAGAAGTGAAGCATTCGAGTTTCTCCACGTTTGACCTGTAGCTTGTTCTGCTAACCTCGATCTTGATTGGTCGCTGTTGACCTTTAACCTGTCGTTGTTTGCACCTTTGTTTTGATTGTATCCCCCCTTTTGATCTATTTCTTGATCCTGTGTCAGCTATGATTTTGCTGATCGGTTGATAAACTGGATCACTGTCAATGTGTTTGTTGATTGCTGATTGACCTGAGTGCCAAGCTTCTAAAAATTCCCTAATGTTCATTGTACTCTCTCTATCCAGTATTTCCACACTGTTCCAATCAAATGTGTGTCCATAATTGTCGGTGTGTATTGAGATAAGCGAAGGGTTGTCGTGTCGTTTGACCGCTAATTGATGTTCGCGTAAACGGAGCTGAAGAGGTCGTCCACTTTGTCCTATGTAGTGTTTTTCACAGTTTGAGCAATTTATTTTGTAGATGATATTTGGTTTTTCTTCCTTTGTCATTTTGTCCTTTGGTCTACAACATAGGATTGATTGAAGTGATTGTGTTGGTTTGTGTGCCACACCTATTCCAAATGGTTTCAGTAGTCGTGCCGTATGTTCCGATATGTCTTTGATGTATGGTAGGATGATGCGTTTATTTGTTCCTGTGCTTGATTTCACTTCTGATGATGGTTTTGGTTGATGTTTTTTAATGAAGTTGCGTGGATATCTATCTTCTATCTGAAGTTCGTGCTGATGATGTTGTTCAGAAGAACAATCAAAGCTCCACAACCAAAACAACCAGCTCAGAGAACGAAACACCACCACAATCATCCACCTGAGCTACAAGTTTTCTCCACCATCTCAGTTTCATCACAACAGCGTTTCTCATGATGAAAATAATTAACCCGAAACTAATTAGCTCAGAGAACGAAACACCACCACAATATGTACATGTTTATCGAATGAATAACAGATTGATTCCCTTAGTTGTTTGTTTCGTAATTGTTTCTTTTGATTTGTTATCTGTTTTGTATAGATTCATTTGAACAATGAAAATTGAATTGCTTTTTCTTTGTTTAAATTCATAGCTTTTCTATATTTATTTTCTTTTTTTCTTCATAATTTAGTCAATGTTTCGTTCACATGGTTCATTGTCTAAATCAAAAATTGCTAAACTTCGTAATAAATTCATGCAACAGCTAGAAAATGAAAGCGGTCAACAATAGCAATTCATAGATATATTGAATATTGAACGAACGATTGAATGAATGACTCGTTTCAAGGTCATTGCATGCTTTCACATGTTCGCATGCTTTTATCATATTGTCTTCGTTCTGTTATTTGCTTGTTTTAATCTTACTTTTATCTAAATTATCATAAGATATCATTGTTTTTAAAATAAAAAAACTAGTCAACATTGAAACAATTCATTAAAAGTGTTGTTGATTAGCAATAAAAATAATCTCTCTATTGATTATCGTCCATCTTATTGTTTCGTAATTTCGACAAATCATGCATGCATACCATCATGTATAAAATGAAAATGTATACACAACTAGCATTCTTTCTATGGCATGAACAATTCTGTTCAATATTCAATATGGGGTTGTGCTCTTTAGGTTTGTTTCAATGTTTCTTTTGGTGTAAAATTCACTTTGCCCAAATGAATACTTGTATGTGTGTGCGTGTATATTCTGTACACGGCTACCGCGGCCGCCGTCGCCTCCTCCTCCTCTGTAATGCCTTGTTACTTTATTGATTGCATGAAATACCTACTTACACTCTCTCTCATGTTCACATAGGTGTGCGTCTATTGTGCAAAAACCATTTGATAAACATGAGGAAAAATGTGTCATTTTTTTTTCTGTAAAATAAAAAAAACACCCAAATCTTTCCTTTCTATCATCAATGATGTCTTTCAGCATTTTTTTTTAAATGATTTGTTAATTTCGCGGTTGTTTTAATTTTCAAAAAAGAAACTGTTTTTAAAAATTAATTTTAAAATGAGTTTTACTTTTGATTTCTTTTCTCCTCTACCGGAACTATATGTGATTTCTAATTAATGCAATAACACTCACTCATTACACTATACAGTAGTAGTTGACTTCTTTAATTTTTCCTTTTTGTTACAAACTGTTCATCATCATTTCTCGAAAAATGGCACACACACACACATACAACTTTTTGTTTTATTCTAATTTCTATTTGAATGCCTTCCATTTCGAAAACAATAATGAAGACATCAATTCGATTCTATATACGTGACTGTGCTTGTTTTTGAATGTGTATTGGAAAGGTGGATGATTCTGACTGAATTGTGTGTGCATGTGTGCTTGTGTGTGTGTGTAGTTGTATTTGCTTTTACCAACAATCAATATGCTTCCATGTATGTGGTGTAAGAAAAGAGATGCAATAAATGTGTGTTTTTGATTTGATTTGATTTGGTTTCATTTTTTTTTTACCGTTTTAGGGTTATTTATAGTTGTACTCCCTATCATATTGTTTTTTTCGAGTTGATATTCAGGAGGAGGATGTCTTTCTTTTTGGCATTTACTAGTGCAGTCAGTCAGTCGCAACGTAAAACTTCGTGCGTATGTACATAAGTTCATGTTGCCATACCACATTATTAGCACAGAGACGCAAATGTCAAATCAAATCCCATAGTGATAGCAGAGATAGTAGAGGTATTAATGGTAATGAAGAAGACTAGGGTTTGAAGATATTATTCAAGAAGTATAATTCATTCAGATAAGATTAGAAAGACAAAGGTAGATGTGCTGACAAATCAAGAAGATTAGGATTTGAGAGAGCTCAACGAATGAATGCACTTGCGCCATTGCAAACGATTTTGAGCCATGTCGTTGTTCAAGGTCTCTAACGATTGGTGACTTTCGTCTCGCGGACCCCAACCAAGTAGTCGACATCTACCAACATGACTCAGTCCACTTGTCAATGACCTCATGGATTTCTGCAAAATCTCTTGATCAATCAGAGTTAGATATTAACACCGTTAGATGGCTGGCCCAGTGGTCCAGAGGTTAGGTGTTCGCTCACAAAACCGAAGGTCCAGGGTTCGAATCCTGTGAGGTGCAGGAGTCGTGGATGAACACTGTTGATGAGTCCTAGACGACGGACTAAACGGGCGTCCTTGAGTGCTTCCAGGTTTCTTATGGTGTTCTAACAATAGTTGACTGAGGATTTCATATGTGTATTGACTAGTGCATTGTTCAAATGTGTTTCTATTCAGCAGTGATTAATTCACAATAATGCAAGCATGTTCGGGATTGGATTCTCACCCTTGAATTAACAAAATGTTGCTTCAAGATTTGTTTGCATCGGCGCTTGAACTAGTGATGAGGAGTGAAGTAATTGAGCGTTTTGACTGTTTCATTTATCTTGGGAGTTTCATCATTGCCAATTGTTAGGTTCCTCACTACGTATGCTTGAAACTATAACAGGTTCACCTTAGTTGATAAACGCGAACAAGACAATGAATTAGTGTCCAGGTAGGCTACCTTGATCTGAAACGGCTAAAGAAAGTCTTGATAAGCGTAGAAAGTATATTCTACAAACACCCAGCAAGTACAATGCAATCAAGCAGACAAATCTCGTTTGTTTATACATCATAGAAACGTCCTTTGGACAGCCACAAAAATAGCACACCAAAATACACAGCAGCCAAGGATTTTCCTGATGAGAAATAAAATCTCAAGGTCAGCTAATCAGCCCATGCTCGCAAATGTGAAATCCAAAATTAAGGCATTTATCAAGCGAGTTCTGGGGATTTAACGTCCCCAACACTAATGGCCTAGTGCGTGATGGGTTCTCAGTACGGATACAGAAGGCTTAATCGACTTTTACCAACTTATGGCGAAGGTGAGATATCCGTTCGCTAACCAAAGGACGACTCTACTGCACAGAGTGAGAAATATTGCCACTAAGAGTAAAGGATGTTCGTATTACTGGTTACTGGTATTCGATCATGGGTGTCTTCGAAGCATTACCGGTGTTAGAAAACGGCTTCTAGGTAAAGATGGTAGATCAGTTAGTGAAATAGAGAATGTTCATTAGATGATGTGGCCGAGTTATGTGTTACGTATTCCTAGTCACTAACTACTTCGATGTTTGTCTGATGTAGGGGTAAGTTGGAAAAAGCTAGATCGGCCAGTACAAAACATGGTGCAAATTCTTGAAGTCATCGACAAGTGGACTGAGTCATGTTGGTAGGTATAGACTATCTGGTTAGGATCTGCGAGACGATAGTAACTGTTGGTTACAAACCTTGAATTACATAGCTCGAATTCGTTTGTAATGGCGCACATCATCCACTCTGTGTCTTCTCTCAAACTACAATCTTCTGAGTTCCTCATGACAGTTTTTCCTCTTTTTAAATTACTCCACTGGAATACACTTCTTGAATGATATCTATCCCTAATCTCTCTCATTGGCTCAAGACCTTTCCTTAAATCTTTTTAAGTGCATTTCACTGGATTATGATTCTTGAATAATATCCTCCAGTCCTAATCTTCTCCAAAAACCGCTAATACTTCTACTCCCTGTGCTATTATAGGGTTTGAATTGACAATGCCATCTCTGTGTGTGGTAATATTGTATGGCAATTTGAACTGATGAACGTACGTACGTATGAAGTTCTCCGTTGTAGCTGACTAACTGATTCGATTTAGTTCTATTTTTCTGCCACGATTTACATTGTACATGACTTAGAATGATGTTAGACATTCGAATTCGACAAAGTTCATTTGAGATTAGTTTATGAATACATTTCATGAGTAAATTTGTTCAGCAATTATCATTTTAAATACAAAATTTATTTGTGAAACATTCAAATGAATGAACGTTTACAAATTGAATCTGTTTTCAAGGTTATTAATCATCAACTGTTGAATTTAAACAAAACCACAACAAAAAGGGGTTATTTAGATTACAAATATCCTACAAAGAACACTGAACGTTATTAACACGAAAACAAAGCAAAGCCAGATGGTCAGCGACTGTTTACTTTTGTTCGGGAACAAAACACCGATAAGAATTCAGTGAAAAATGAATTGGTTAAAAGTGTAAGTTGAAGAATCATTGACTATTTTTCAATTCGGCTTATTGCATTCAACTGATCAATTGTTAACTAATTCAGTCTTGGCCATAATAGTGTGTGTTGAAATGTTCACAGTCAGTCAGCTAGTTACGAGGTAGAACTTCGTACGTACGTAGGTACGTACATCAGTTCAGTTTGCCATATCACATTAGCACAGAGACGCTACTTTCAGTTTAAATCCAATAGTGGTAGAGGTATTAGAAGTATTAGCAGTAATCGGAGAAGATTAGGGTTCGAAGATATTATTCAAGAATTATAATTCAGAAGATAAGAATTTCAGAGAACACAAAAAGTGGATGCATCCTCACCATTACGAACGGCTTCAAGTCATGTCATTCAAGGTGGTCACAGATTCATTCACTTAACCAGTAACTATCTCTAAAGAACATTCTGTTTACTTCGCTTCCACGAGACAACTCTACAACATACCATAATTGAGAATAAAATGTCACTCAACTGAATAACCCAACAATTGTGTACATTAAAAATATTATTCACACTTATAAAATACAATAGCGATCCATATCCAAGGCGTTTTTAAAAGCGACTATATAAACACAATTATCACGTCTTAAATTTCAATACTCAATCAAATTGATCTGCCATCCTTACCTAGTACTGGTTTCCTAATGGCAGCATTGCTCACTAAGTTGTCCCACGATACACGAGCAATGCTTCTTAAACATCTATGATCGAAAACCAGTAACCTACGAATATATTTTACTCTGATTGACCATGTTTCACAGCCATAAAGTAGGACGGAGCGAACTACTGCGCAGTAAACCCGTCCTTTGGTTAGCAGACGGATATCTCGCCTGCGCCACAAATGACGCAGGTTGGCAAAAGCCAATCTAGCCTTCTGTATCCGTGCTGAGATTTCGTCAGTCACCAGGCCATCAGCACTGATGAGATCTCCAAGATAAGTGGAGTGATCAACACGCTTGACTACCCCTATCACTAGTTCAGGTGCCGATGCAACCCAATCTTGAAGCAACATTCTGCATTTCGACGGCGAAAACCGTATCCTAAACATGCTTGCATCGTTGCTTAAGGTGTTCAGAAGACTGTTTTTTGTAAGCGTTTTCACCGAATAGGACTATGTCGGCGGCATAT